GGGTGTGGAAGGGTGTAGACACAGGGGTGTGGAAGGGTGTAGACACAGGGGTGTGGAAGGGTGTAGACACAGGGGTGTGGAAGGGTGTAGCGCAGGGGTGTGGAAGGGTGGAGACACAGGGGTGTGGAAGGGTGGAGACACAGGGGGTGTCGGGGAAGGAGAGCAGGAGCAGAGCCATGGAGAAGAGCATCCATGGTGGAGGGATGTGGCTTTGTGTAATCTGCCTCTATTCTCAGTGTCGTGTGCTGTCCTTTCTCCTACAGAATGATGAGAAAATGAACGAGGTGATGGATTTAGCCCACACCTTCCTGCAGAACTTCTGCCGGGGGAATCCACAGAATCAAGTTCTTCTTCACAAACATCTCAATTTGTTTCTAACTCCTGGAGTAAGTAGCTGGTGACCCCTAACACTCACAGCAGAGTGTGCATCAGATTTGCTGCACTGTGAATAGAATTTTATTGACCTTTGTACATCGTTTTTCCTTTATTAAGATTCACTCCATAAAATTGAGTGTTTCCATAGAAGAAACTCTTAAAGTAATTTAGACAAATTTTATATGCCAATGGCAGTTTCATTTATAACATAATTTAATGTTAGAATTAAATTATTAAATCAAATTAAATGATTAAATCAAGAACTAACTTGATGATACCATATGAAGCTAAATACGGGAGCTGGGGTATAGCTTGCCTAGCATAGGCATTGGTGGGCAACCAGAGTTTGGGAGAAAGATGGGCTGTGGAACAAGGAGAGGGTGGAGAGAATGGAGCAGACAGACAGGAGAAATAAAGAGAAGGAGAGGAAGGCTGAGGACACAGGAATGAAGGGACAGGAGTACGGAAGGACAGTTCCACAAAACCCAAACCAAACACACAAGAGCCCAATATGCAAAGGTTGCATTAGGAATGACCTGTTGTAGTGTGTAGGCAGATCTTGAGGCTGAATGAGTTCAGATCCCCAGTACCAGCATAAGAGCCAGGCAGGGCTTCTGTGCCTGTAATGTCAGTGTTGAAGAGACAGGAGGACCACGGGAGCCTGCTGGCCAGTCAGCATAACTGGGATAAGTTTCAGGTTCAGTGATAGACTCTGCCTCAAGGAACTAAGGTCCAGAGTGACGGAGGAGCACACAGATCCTGCTCTGGCCCTGCATGTACATGTACTCCACATGTACCCCTCACTATGGATACATGTGCATACAGCACACATGCTTATACCATATTCTCACAAAATGATAAAAAAAAAAACACATTTATTAGCACATCTTAAGAAAGAGCCAATGGGAATAATGGATAAATTATCCTCAAGTTGCTGCCCTTTGCTAAGGTCCTTTCTCCAGCTGAATCCCATTGTGAGGCACATTTCTTTCAGTGGTTAATGACTCTGCACTTCAAAGAACACAGGCACTGGCAATTCATGGTGGCTTCACATAAAACATGGGGCCCATCGCAGTCAGGGAGCATGAGAGCTGTAGGATAGAATAGCGACCTCATCACAGTCACAGCAGTGTGCTCCTCTGCTCAGCTCCTGGAAGCAGAAACCATGCGGCACATCTTCATGAACAATTATCATCTGTGCAATGAGATCAGCGAGAGGGTCGTCCAACACTTCGTGCACTGTATCGAGACGCATGGCCGCCATGTGCAGTACCTGAGGTTCCTGCAGACAATCGTGAAAGCAGATGGCAAATATGTGAAGAAATGCCAGGATATGGTGATGACCGAGGTAGGTGTTCAGTCTGTGTCTTACCAGCTTCACATAGGTTGTGCTCAGTTATGCAGCATCATCAGCTCAGAGCAGAGAAAGACCTCCGAAGTGGTTTGGTTTTACTATGACTACCAAAGCACCAATAGGTTTTATACTGATGCAGTGAAGTAACACAGGACAACCTGACTTCATGATTTCCTTAAGAGCTTTCTTTTTGATCTGTAATGAATTTGGGTCTGTTAAATAATGGGTAATTTTTTAACTTAAGAATTTATATATGTGTGTGTGCATGTCTGTGTGTGCACCATGTGCATGTAGTTGCCTGTGGAGGCCAGTAGAGGAACTTAGATCCCCCTGGAACTGGAGTAACACATACTTATGACCTTGATGTGGGTGCTGGGAATTGAACCTGGGTTCTCTGCAAGAGCAACAAGAGCTTTTAACCATCGAGACACCACTCCAGCTCCTTCAATGGGTGAAATCTTATGAAATCACAGATTATTTGGAATTAACACAATTTTTCTATTCAAAAATTTTTAGTAACATAGCAGAGCAATTGAGAACACAGGATGGGTGTTCTCTGCCACTGTTTATAATATTTTTGAAGAACAAGACATGAGTTAATAAAAAATGGTTCTCAGGGCTTTATTAAAGCAGTAGGAATTGGGTATTTTAAATAAGGTAAGAACTTAAGAAAAGTGAGTGAACTACTTTGGAAGAGGTTGATGTGGGTTAGCTTCTCACTAGGGACACAACAGTGCTCCTTTGGAGGACTGGTGACCAGTTACTGGCTGGTGGACTGTGTGTCAAAGCAACTTCACCCACAGCTGCAAGGCAGTTAGTTACCTGGAGGATTACGTTGATCTGGGGAAATTCTCACCTCCAAATGCCTTCCAGTTTGAAATGAGAGATATCTCCATGTTGATTTCATGTGCTACCCAGATATCTTAAAAAGTAATCCAGCCTAAGGCCTTGAACTTTTATGTATGAATTGTTGTAAATAAACTATAAAAAGAACATTGTGACACAAGTGCATAGGCCCTTCCTTTGGCACTTATCAAAGGAAATCCCTCTGTGTATAAGGAAATATTTGTGATATTATACATAACTGTAATAGTATTTGCTCTGTCCGTGACCTTGGGCTATACAGTCTGAAGGAGGTGGTGCTTCTTTCCATTATACATGACCTCTTAAAAAGAAAGGGAGAGGGGTCATGAGACCCCTGTTTCCTGCTTCCTGGTGTGATCGGACTGCCAGGTAGATTTGCTCCTGGTCACATCAGAGGATGACTTCAGCTGTCTACTTGGTTCTGTATTTGTGAGTGGATTTCCTCAATTTATATCCTAATAAATTCCCTAATACTTCTAAAACAGACTCCTGTGGAAATCTCTCCTGGTCAGAAAAGGATTACAGATACACAATAAGACAGATTCAGATGGAATAGACCTCTAAACAGTTTACAGTGTGTGTAAGGCTTGGAGAAGGAGAAACATGCCGGCAGACCGGTAACACCATGGCCACGTGGCAATACATAGATTAATAGAAATGGATTAATTTAAGATGAAAGAGCTAGCTAGTAATAAGCCTGAGCTATAGGCCATACAGTTTGTAATTAATATAAGCCTCTGTGTGTTTACTTGGGACCTAGCAGCTACAGGACCAGGTAGGACACAGGAAAACTTCCGTCTACACATAACCATATTTGGATACATACATTCCTTTACAACAGGACTGTCAAAGTAAGCCAATCAATTAACTGGCTTATTGATTTAAATGTTACCAATTTAAATATAATAACTAAATAAAAATTTATCTATCATTTGTAACCTGACCAAACATCTCATATCAGGATTAGAAAACTGGCCTCAGTAATAGATAACAGCATGGTAAATACAATTTGCTACCACCTTGAACACCAGAAGCATACACCAAAATATGAGGAACAGTCTTGTCCTAAGTGTCTTCCACTGTCATTTCTTTACCATCTCAGCTCTCTGTTCTGTTCTCTGATGCCTTCCCATTAAATGGGGAATTTATAAAGTTGTAAGTATTTGAGGCAATGTAAAAAATTGCTTACTTAATTACTAATGTGAATACTTTCCTCTGGTTCATTTTATATTTAATGTGTACTTAAGTGTGTCTATCTGTGGGTGTGTGCATGTAAATGCACTGCCTGAAGAGGCCAGTAGAGGGCTTTGGATCCCCTGGTCCTCTGCAGGAGCAGGGAGTGCTCCTAACTGCTAAGTCATCTCTCCAGTCCCTCACTTTACTGCTTTAGTGGAAACAGACTCCAGAACTCAGATGTTTGGCTTCCCGGTGCTGGGATTACAGGTCTGCACCCCAGGCCTGGCTCTGTGCTGTTTGATTCCCGTCCCATCACTGCTCTCCTGTCTCCTGCCTGGTTTCAGCAGCGCCAGTAGCTGGTCACTTGGCACTTGATTTTGTTCGGCCTTTCCCTCCTCCTGCCTTGATGAAGCTCTGCTTTTGCAGTATTTCTTGTACTTGTTTCTGTTTGTAAACAGAAATCAGCGTGTCTTCAGGTAGGTAAGCTTTTAGAAACCCGCTCTGGAGAGTCTCTTTTCTTCGTTTCAGTTGATTAACGGGGGTGAAGATGTGCTGATCTTTTACAACGATAGAGCGTCATTCCCCATCCTCCTCAACATGATGTGCTCCGAGAGAGCTCGCGGCGATGAGAGTGGCCCCCTGGCCTACCATATCACCCTTGTGGAGTTGCTGGCAGCATGTACTGAGGGGAAGAATGTCTACACTGAAATCAAGTGTAATTCTCTCTTGCCCCTGGACGACATCGTGAGGGTGGTGACCCATGACGACTGTATCCCTGAGGTCAGCCTGACAAACACTTATCATCTGTAGAGTACTCATGTTTTTTAAGTTCACCTGGGTGTCAGCCACTTCCCATGGTAGTATTTATGATGATATCACATATTTAGTAGAAGGATTAACTGTACCTAGTTATGTAATTTGCAAAGTGGAAAAGAACACAAAGAGTTCTAGTTTTTATTTGCACGGAAGGAAGACAGTCCCCTTGACTAAGAACTACAAACGTCTCTTGAGGTCTGCACGTGGTAGTGGTTTGTAGGGAGAGGTCGACTTGTAGTTTCTGGGCATGAAACAGGTGGCTCTTTGGTGAATCAGTCATTGATTGAAGAGTCTAGGGTGGTGCTGCAGGAGCCCATATTAGCCTCCGTGGGTTTCCCTTGCTGCACAGAATGTGTGTCTTCCTGAGAACATGCCCACATCCTCTCTCAGTCTCTCTTCCACTTCAGCTTTGATGATTGGTGCAGAATACCTTGCAGAGGATGATGATCTGCTGGAGAAACCTTTCTCTTAGTAAGGCTTCCAGGAACACACAGTATAATGATTTCTTTCTTTTCTGCTATTATGGTATGTTACAATGAGTTCATAAATGTGTGCTATACTCTATAGCACATAAAACCGAAAGGAGTCAGGGGAGGTCTCAGTCCCTACTCAAGTAGCCCTGCACCATGGCAACACAGTCATGGACCTGAAGGAATATTTATGTGGAATCCTTAACACCCCAGTTCAAGGGTCCTTCATGCCTTGAAGGGCTAAGATGAAATGGCAGAGAGGCTTGGGGTGGAGGAGAGGGCCCTGCCTTTCCTGTGTTCACTGGAGTCATTCACCTCACATTTTACTTCTTCAGAGATGAGTTCTCTGGCTATGTAGATATGGCCACCCACATCTCTAATGGAAAGCTGACCAGTTGACTTTCATTAGCTCTGTGCCTCCCCCAAAAGCATCAGTTCTAGGAGGATATGGCTAGGTGTGTTAACATTATCATTTGAGTACCTCTGCCAGAGCAGATGTCCAGCAAACCTGTCTCCAGCAAATTCAACAATTAGTCGGGACCCTTATCCATTGTTTTCTAATTGTGTGGCTGACTCCAGCGGTCACTTAACACTTCCAGCATCCAGTTCCTACAGTTTTAAAGTAAAATAATCACTGCATCAGCCTCATAGGATTATTAGAGAATTTCATTCCATAAGATGAAGCATGGGAGAGGCCGAGGGGTTTCATGCATGGCAGATGCTGAGTAAGTACAGCTGCTGAGGAGATGATGGTGGTTGCCTTGCATGTCTCAGCTCTTCTTAGCCCATGACCAGTCTCGACATGGGCACATGCCAGTGAGGATTTTTTCTAGACTTCAGTGGAGCAACAGGAAGCCCTTCAGGCAGGAAAGCTTGCCCTGTTCCTTATGGCTCTGACTCAGAGTCCAGGACTCCCATGGAAAGATTGATATGATTTGTTTTTGTATACAGCCTTTTCTTGGAGACTTTTGAGTTCTTCCTGGTGTCTCAAGGATGCTAGGTTTGCTGTGAGTAAAGCTCCCATTTCACAGCAACCTCTGGGCAGAGGGGAGTGGAACGCTAGACCTCAGGCTTCCTTGGGCCATGAGGAATAGCTGTTAAAGGAAGAAAGCAGGGAATGTGCATGTGCACAAAACAGATTGTGTTTATCTAGAAGCCCATGCAGATGGCGTTTCATGCTGTAGGCTAGAAGGCCATCAGTGAAGAACTGAACTTTGTGTTTGAAATTTTCACAGGTCAAGATTGCATATGTGAACTTTGTCAATCACTGTTACGTTGACACCGAAGTGGAGATGAAAGAAATCTATACCAGTAACCACATTTGGAAGTTATTTGAGAATTTCTTGGTGGATATGGCAAGGGTAAGTTAAATGCGCTTCATGTGGGCTAAGATCATTGGTATTGATTAGTATTGATTTTGATTAAGCAGTAAATATCTAGATGAAAATTTGCAGTTAAACCAACTACATTTTGATTTAGTCTGTTTTATCCATTAAGTTGTGAATGGGTTCTAGGAGATCATGAGTGACATTTAGCAAGTTAACATAAACGAAATACGTTTTCTGGCATGTATGCAGTGACAGGTGACGTGTTTAGCTTCTGCCTTTATAAATGGCCACATTTGTCTGTTAATAAATGGAATTTTAGGAGCCTTGCTACATAGATTAGGAAACATTTGGCAGAGGCCATTTTCTATTTAACCTCTTACCGTGAATGCAATTAAAGCCACAGCTGGAGAGGGACTCGAGTGGTCTAGGAGGGACTATGATCGGATATCTCGTGACCCCGTCACAGTCTTCCCTGGCTTTGATAATTTGGTCATCTGGACTTTTCATACATGGTCCCCAGATGACATTCTGCTTTTACTTTGAGCCCATTTCCTTTTTTAAATTGAGAGGTGGCATGTGGCACTAGATGGCATTTATAGATACTGTCCGGCATGTGTCTGCTCTGTGGAAATGAGCAAGCAACAAGGAAAGGATGCCATTTACTCTTTCCTGCTTTCTCTCTGGCACAACAAATCATTATCAATACCCAGGGGCCTTTGATTTTATGTTTTTTTCAAACAAAGCTTCATTCCATAGCACAGGTTGACCTGGAGTAACCCAGGCTAGCCTCAAACTCACAGTTATCCTCCTGCCTCAGCCCCCCAAGTGTTGGGATGACAAGTGTGGGCCACCATGCCTAGCTTTCTCATTTTAGTTTTAAGAGTGACAAGATGTGAAATTTGAAGAAGGATTTTCTAGGAAAGGCAGTGTATCCGCAGCTCCTTAGACCTCATCCAGGGTAAGGTGACCCGTCCAGTCCCTTGGGCCTTCTTGCTTCCCCCAGTGCTGGTAGTTTATGCAGGCCTCGTCTAGATGTGTTTGAGGAGGGGGATTCCCAACATCTTACAAGAACCCTTTATAGTTCGTGGCATCTCTTTGACTTTCTGGAGGAGGGATCATGAGATGCATACACTAGAACCACCACTGTAAGCCCAGGCACCCGAGAACACCCCTGGATGACACCCTGGATCATGCGTTCTTTCAGGCCAGGAAGTCCTTCTACTCAGCCAGGGTTTCCAGGCGAAATATGTTTATTTTGCTTTTGGTGTGGTAGAGTGAGTGAGATCTTCACAGGTTTAAGTTCATGCATAGTTAGAGCCTGTCTGTTTTACATCATCTTTGTGTGACCAGCTAGAAGTCACTATGTCCTCTCTCAGCTAAATCATAGCTAGAGAAGCCACCCCGTTCTTCCACCATTTATGCTTGTTGCCACTGACCGGTGGAAAGCGTGGCTCGGACCAGCTGTAGGCAGCTCCTAAGTCCTCAAAGCAAAAGATAATTTCAGGACTGCACATGCAGGAAGATGTTAAAGAGGTTCCAGAGGAGCATCTGCAGAGTTGCTTGGTGCTACAGACTGAGAAAGACCAAGGTCACATCCTCAGCAGTACAGGCTATAACACTAAAGTGGAGTTTATTTTCTTAAAACCAAAAAAAGCTAGTGGTAACTGCCTGTCCCAGCTACCACTGGACCCACATACTCTTTCCACTTATGAATTCAGGAGTTGTACATTTACTGAGTTTGCTTAAGTGGGTGATTATGAAGTGTCGTTTATTATGTAAAGGCTTCCAGAAACTTCCTGGAATTTCTGCCTGTCTGCTCCGAGTTGAGTGCAGAAGCTTTTGTTCCTTCAGATTCTTCTCTGTCCTTCAAAGCAGGGCCCTTCTCCAGGGTGGACATAACACCACCCATACTTTCCGAAAGAGATAGTCCAGGGCAGAGGGCCCCTTCTGCCCTCTGCAGAAAGGTGAAGAGCCACTGAAAACTTCCACATTCTAGTAACAAAACAACCCAGGTGGCCTTCTGGACCAGCTTTCCATGCAGATGGCTGAGCCTTGCTCCCCAGAGTCTTGGACTCAGCACTGGGGAGACAAGACATTTGAAACAAGTCTTAGGTGACACCATACTTGGTCCTGGGGCACCCTGAGAGCCATTGCAGTAGGGTCTGGCAGCTAAGAGCAGGGGTGTCAATGGAATTAAACCAGGGATCGGATCCAAACTCGGCCTTTCTCTAACTGCCTTACGCATATTGGGAAAGGCACTGTAACCATGCTGCCCCTGAGTTGCCTTACAATAAATACATTTCCCCAGGGGTCCTGGAAAGAGCTAGTGAGGTAATACACAATAAGCTCTTAGTACATACTGCACTTTGCAAAGAGCTTGGTGACATTATATCATTATTAGGATTATCACAAGGCTATGAGAAGCCTTTTGGGCAGTTTCAGGAGCTTCCCCGAGACCTAAATGATATTGATGACATAATTACATTGAGAGTGAGGCAGAAACAGACTCTTCACACAGGCAAGAGCCAGACGCTGTGTTCATGAAGTCTGAGGAACATTAACCTGGGCTTGCATGATGCTGCATATGCATGAAGCCAGACATGCATATAGCCAGACCTGAAAGATACTATGTGTGAAGCCAGGCATGCATGAAGCTGGACATGAAATAGGCTGGAAGCTGAAAAATGCATGAAGCCAGGCATGCATGAAGCCAGGCATGCATGAAGCCAGGCATGCATGAAACTAGGCATGCATGAAGCCAGACCTTCAGGGCACAAGAATGCCAATGAAGCCAGCTACATATGAGATTGGACATGAATTAAGCTGGAAGCTGAATTTGCATGAAGCCAGGTGTCTTAGTTGGAGTTTCTATTGCTGTAAAGAGATACCATGCTGCAGCAACTCTTATAAAGGAAAACATTAAATTGGGACTGGCTTATAGGTCAGAGATTTAGTCCATTATCATCATGGCAGGAAGTATGGAGGCACTTTGGCAGACATGGTGTTGGAGAAGGAGCTAAAAGTTCTACATCCAGATCCACAGGTAGCAGGAAGAGAGAGACACTGGGCCTGGCTTGAGCATTTGAAACCTCAAAGCCCACCCCCAAGTGACACACTTCTTCCAGCAAGGCCACACCTCCTCCAACAAGGCCATACCTCCTAATAGTGTCACTCCCTCTGACCCAAAGGAGGCCATTTTCATTCAAACCACACATCAGGTGTGCATAAAGCCAGGTAGGCATGAATTCAGGTTTATGTGAAGCCTTATGCAGACATCACTTGATATAAACTGCTGCAGAGGAAAGGCATCAAACTGAGGTGCTGACAGCAAACTTGTAAAACTCTGGAGCACCTGACTAACACCAGAGAGGAGGAACTAGAGAAGAGCTATCCTGGAAGTTGGGTTGAGGACACTCAACGTGGCGGGAGCGGAAGAGGAGAGTCATCAGAGCATGCCGTGTGGTGTCCAGTCTTAGTTCTCAGCGTCTACCTGGATATTGCTAAAAGATGTCATCACCATGTTTGGCATGCTTTCATTTTTATTTCTGCACAACTTAAAATGTAAAGATTATTAAAGTTTTCTGTATTATAGTTACTACCTTGATTTTGCTTGAGCAGCAACATGGGGCAGTTCAGTTAAGCAAAGATGTAGTGTATACCAGGAGCCACTGATCCTCCGTGCCAGGCCTCCTTTGAAATTATAAAGCCGTGACACTTAGGGAGCCCAGATGCGTAGTTTGCTAGCCAGTTCTCCGGCTTGTTACAGAGTGGGAAGGCTGCTACCCTCCCCCCATCTCCAGCAACTTCTCAAATGGAGCCTTCCTGTCCTCCAGTGTTTAACCCATTCCTTACACTGATCCTCTTTTGAGTCATGTTTGGTGTGCTGTTTCCACATCTTTGGATTCCCTCTAGCCTGCCTGTGCCTACACAACTGTATTTCAGTAGAAATTTGGAGAAGAGTTTGTCTAAAGAACAAATGAAGTCTCAATGCTAGCAGCCACAGTGTCTGCTTCCTTCCCATGCTTTTCTGTGGTCAACATGGCCAGGTCTTGGGTTCTCGGGAAGCCCTCTACAGTCACTGCTATTTGTGTCTTCTGCTTTCCTCTTCATGACCTTCATCCCTCATGAGGGACGAGGACCCACATGTGTGGTCCAGTGAGCCAGCTCAATGGGTAGAGGAGCTTGCTGCCAAGCCTGATGACCTGGTTTTGATCCCTGTAACACATGTGGAAGGAGAGACCAGACTCTGGCAAGTTGTTTAATAAATTTAAAAATAATTTTAAAAAGATACATAAAAAATCTTTCCTGAAAAATAGCTTTTAATAAGCTGTGTTATACGTTTTCATGTGTTCATCCTGATGTCCTGATGGAGACGGGGCCCATGAGCTGTAATACAGCACACTGGGGCAGTGGCCAAGCTATTAGACCCAGGGAAAGTTGTTGCTGTCTTTCAGACCATTAATGACAGCCCACTTTGATCTATGTTCTAATGCAGCTGAAATTGGTGCTTGTGGAGCAGAAATGCTCTCCTTCGTCTTGATAACTGCTTGTTGTTGCAGTCAGGGGACTCAGGTCATTATCAGAAGGCACCTAGACGGGTGGATGATGATCAGTGAGTCTCAGACTGTAGGTGTAGTTTTTGAAGATGTTCCCAATTCTGCCATCCCTTTCAAGACCTTACAACGACCAGCTGTACTCTGAGTAATGTTCCGACAGAACAAAATTAGACCAAGAAATAATTTAGGATGTGTGCCCACTCAGTGTCATATCTGTCATCGCTTAACGAGACAGATCAAGATACCGTCTGTGTTTTCAGATAGATCGCTTGGGCCATTCGCTCCCTTTCCTGCTGAGTAGATGTTTGGAGATAAGGTGGTAGAATGTGTATCTTCTCTAAAACATGCTTCCTCATGGGCCTTGTTAGATAGGATTAAACAGATGTTCTATGAGTTTGTTGATTTTTTTAAAAAGTTGAATGGGTCATTAATAAGAGGATCATTAATAAGAGAACACTTGAAAGTGTTCTTTCTATG